AAAATCTAACTTCGTAAATTGTGCTGCAATAAAAATGCATATTCATGCTTCACTGATATACGATATCTTTTAACATATTTGAGAAATAGCTAGTAGGAAAACAGACTGGTGGAACAAGATTTCTATTTCTCATTTTCAGAGATCTTTACACAGATTTTCACAGTGGTACTAGTTTACACTGCTTTGAAAAATGCAGAAGGAAGGGGCTAGTAAAGAGTTCAGCAACAAAGCAACTGCTTGGCAGGTTCAAGGTCATGAGTTCCATAAGTGTCAAAATAATAATAATAATAGTAATAATAGTAATAATAATACGGGCTCCTCTTTCTACACAGCTTCATTAACATTTCTTATCTAATTTCCTACAAGTACTCATTATTTCTGAAGATTGAATCCCTGTGTTGTTTTAATTTGCATTTCTGATATGGCCAGTGATACCGAACTTTCCAATGTAGTTACTGGCCATTTGGACTTCCACTTTGCAGAAGAGTCTAATCATAACAGTTGCACATATTTGGACGGGGTCTTCTAGTTTGAAAGGTTTGATTTTTGAGTGATTATACTGATGTTAATCTTCTGCCTGAGGAGTAGCTGGTTATAATTTTTCTTATTGTGGAGAATGTTTCTCTTTTGTTACTTATTTTCTTAGCAGAGCAGAAGTGAATTTGATATAATCACATTTCTTCCTTCTTGAAGCTATTGCTTGTGCAACTATGTTTCTATTCACAAAGTCTTTGTCCACACCTATGTCTCAAGAGTTTTACTTACCTCAAGTTCCAGCAGGTTAAGTGTTTCTCTTTTAACACTTTGATTTTTGGTTAACTTTGATTTTACTGTAATACAGTGTGAAAAATGGAGCTAGCACCAATATTTTGCTTGAGTGGAAAACAGCTTTCTCAGCAACATTTAGATTAAAAAAAAAAAGCTATTTTTCTTCCAGGGTAAGTTCTTGACCCCTTAGTCAAAGATCAGGTAGCAGAATATTTCTGGGCTGGTTTCTGCATCCTCTATTCTTTTCCACTACATCACCTGTCTGCCACTATTCCATTTCCATTCTGTTTTTAATCACTGTAGCTTTGTAACAGAATCTGAAATCTAGGACTGGGATGCCTCCTGCTTTGTTCTTGTTGCCCAAAATTTACTGTGCCCTTCTGAGTCTCTTTTGGTTCCATATGAATTTTAGCATTCTTTTTTCTAGTTCCATGGATGTTGTTGCTGGCATATTGATGGGACTACATTAAATCCATATTTAAATTATGGTATTACAGTCATTTGGACAACGTTGGTGCTGCCTATCCAGGAACAGGGAATATCTTTCAACTTTCTGATGTTTTTTGTCTCCTTGTATATCCGTATTGCTTTTATTGCACGTTTTTCACTTCTCTGATTAGCTTAATTCCTAAGTATTTCATTATTCTTGATGCTATTGTGAATGGTATTATTTTCCTAATTTCTTTCCCACAGTGTTCCTCTTTGGTGTTCAGGAATGATACAAAGCTTGGACAAAGAATCTGCACTCTGCTGCATTGCTGAATTTGATTAAGTCTAGTGTTCTGGTGGGATTGTTTTAGAAGTTCTATGTAATGGACCTTGTCTTCCTCAAATAAGGAGAAGATGAATTCTTCTTTTCCTGTACATATTTCTTTTTTTGTTTCTCCTTCCTGATTGTCCTGGGCAATGTTTTGAATATTATTTTGAAGATGAATAGTGATAGTAAATATCCTTCTCTTATTCCTTACCTTAAAAACAGTCTTTATAGCTTTTCCATATTTGATACGATGTTGACAGGCAGTTAAAATTTTTTTTTAAGAAAGGAAAAGAGAAAAAAGAGTAGAATACAGAATTTCAAAAAATAACAAGAAGAAATCAACACTAATTCACATGTTACACATTGTTATACTAGAAGTAGTTGCACAAGTCACAAAATCTAAACATAAAAATGAACAGACAAGCAATGACAGCACAAACTATTCATTCTTATGAACTAACAGAATAAGTAGTATGGATATTTAACTTGCACACTTAAATATACAATCATATGTGTATACCTACAAGTTGTCTTTCTGTTTGAGCAATTTCACTTTCATTACTACAATATCTGTTGTACACTTTGGATCATATTACTCTTTCAGTTTACTACTATTTATTTTTTTATACTAGAAGACAATACGATATTTAGAAATGTGACTGATTTATTTCACTTATGTTTGTAGTCTCAAGTTGCCTCCATTTACCTAGAAAAGCCTCCAGGTCATCTTTTTATGGCTGAGCAATATTCCATTGTACTAAAATACCTCACCTTTTTCATCCATTCTGTGGTGGATGGGCATTTTGATTGATTCCAATATTTAGCTATTACAAATTTGGTGCTTCTATGTACATGGGTGTACGTATATCACTGTGACATGACATTTTCAATTTTTCTGATTAAATACTCATGAGAGAAATAGCTGGATTGAATGGGACTTCCAGTCAAAGTTTTTTGAGCAATCTTCATACTGATTTCCACAGTGGCTGCACCAGTCTACATTCCCAACAGTCCCCACAGTCCTGCCAATATTTGTTATCAGTTCACTTCTTGATGGTAGTCATTTTTTCTGCAGTGAGATGAAATCTTAATGCCATGTTAACTTCCATTTCTCAAATGGCCAGTGATGGTAAACATTTCTTCATGTATTTATTTGTGATTTGTATACCTTCATCTGAGAAATGCGTATTCATCTAAATGCCCATTTCTGGAGTGGGTCTTTGAATTGGGGGGCCTTGATGTTTTTCAATATTTTGTATGTTCTAAATATAAGTCTTTTGTCTGAGGAACTACTGACTAAAATTCTTTCCCATTCTCTAGATTTTCTTCTCACTTTGTTGGTGATTTCATTTGAAATGAAAAACCTTAAATAAGATGAGATCCCACGGTGCTGGGGATTTAGCTCAGTGGCCTAAGCACCTACCTTGAAAGCAGGCAGTCGTGAGTTTGATCCCTGGTACCGATAAAATAATGAAAAAGACAAAAAAAAAAAAAGATGAGATCACACTTCTTGCTATAAAACTCTTTTATCAGCTTCAGGAAGGTCATTCTATAATAATTTTTCAGAAATTTAAATTATGAATGAAGATTTTTCTCAAAAATTTTGTACACTGAAGGATATGGTCTTGTCATTTGATTCCTTGTTTCTGTTTATGTGCTCAATTGCATTTATTGGTTTGCATACACTGAGTCATCCTTGCCCTTTTGGGGTGAGAGCCACATGGTCAGGATACCTTATTTTTTGATTAGTTGCATTCTATGTGCCACTATTTTGTTGAGGATATTTTTTCTTTATTCTTTAATGAGATTGCTTATAGTTTACTTGTTAGTTGGGTTATTCTCTAATTTTGGCATCAGAGTTAATGATAGTGTCCATATATAAGTTTGGAAGAGCTATATTCTTTTCAGTTTCATTGATCATTTTGAGGATGACTAGTGTTCTATCCCCTTGGAAGACAACTTATACAATTGAATGGTGAATCTTTCAAGGAGTGTCGTCTTCTTAATTTGTGGGGTTTGTATTACTCTCTCCACTTCAGTGTCTCTTATTGGACTGTTCAGACTATTGATGTATTCCTGCTTCAGTTTTAATAACTCAAATGTGTTTAGGAAACCACAAACTTTTTTGCCATGCTCCAATTTATTGGAATACAATTTTCATAGTCCTTATTAATGATCTTCTGGTCTTCAGCAATATCTGTTGTGATTCTTACTGTGCTTTCTAAGTGCAATGAAATGAGTGGTTTTTTTTTCCTTCTTTGAGTCAGCTTAGCTAAATGTTTATCAATTTAATTCATTCTTTGAAAGAACCAGTTCATCTCATTAATTCTTTGCATTAGTTTTTCTCTTGATTTTGTTAATATCTACTCCAATTTTATAACTGCTTTAATGGCTCCTACATTTCTTTGGACTGTTCTTGTCTTTTAGTCTGCAGTGGTAGATTATTAGTTTATTTCATTTTGATTAGTTTGTTTTAAAAATAGCTATTGTAGCAATAAATAAATTAAAAATGAAAACCTCCAAGGAGATGTCAAAGCCTTATCCAGAGCTTCCTCTATGCTGATGTCACAAGCTGATTTTGAGGAAAGAATTGCTATAGAGCCCTGCAAAAACCTGTCTTGGTAGCAGGCTATGTTCCAAGCCTTTCCTCTGCCAGGCTCTGGGGATCCTATTACCTTAATTGACTGGAGTGATAGGACCTCTTTATGGTACTTCCCAGAATTTTCTTCCCTAATACCTGTACCAGAAGCCACCAGCCAGGGCACTGTTCACGATCTCTCTACCCAAAGGGGTCTGTTTCATTCCTCCCACAGAATCTAGGCTGAGGGCCTCACTTTGCCTTCAGGCCAAAGTTCAGGGCAGTGAAGGCTGTATGAGAGGCTCCTCATACAGCCTTAGGCTTGCCTAGTATTTGGATCAATCATAGGACTGCGCCTAGTGTGCTCCTAAAAAGCTGAATCACTTTCTGAATTGGATCTAGTGGCTCCTCTCTCAGATGCACAGGTCCCACTTGCTCTTTGTATTTCTTGCAGGACAGGTTTTCCCTTCTTAACAGTGAGTACTTGCTGGGAGTTGGCCAACAGCCATAAGAAAGATTCTAAATAATCCATACAGAGAAATTCATATTTAATGGGAGAAATGGGAGACTTGAGCTATTCCTCTTGATGGATTGTTGGGGCACAATTATAATGTAGAAACACAACCATAAGATGCAAACACAGATATTTCATGAGCAATTAGAGGTCTCTGGCCAAGTTACACTTCTGCTGTTTCTGCTGAATTCAAATGACCTTGATGGTGTCCACAGCCCAGCTGCATGCCTCTGATGAGCACTGAGTCAAAGTAATAGACTACACCTTAAGGCACCCTGGGCTAATTCAAGGACCCCTCCCCAGAATGTTCCTATATTATGGTAATTCCCTTAACTATGCTCACTCTCTAAGGGTCCTCTTCCCAAATATTTCTATACTATGGTGGTTCCCTAAACTATGCTTATCCTGTAAAGATCTGCTCTTCTTCCTCCCAGAGTGTTTCTATATTTTGATAAACAATTCTTTTGTTTCAAGACTATACTGCCTGTCAATATATGACTCAATGTACCTAACTAATTATGTAAAATTGATGGCTTGCTTTGAGTCTCCCATTTCTAAATTCCATATAAACTAAACTCTTCCTATATTCATGTCTGTTGCTTTTGAGGAATTATCCCTGCAACAGTCTACTGGTATGAAGTTCCAACAGTCTGCTTGTGTAAAGATTAAACGCTACTTTCTTATCTTCTCAGTACAGTCTTCCTTTCAGTTTCCTTTGGTTTGTTTTGGCCTGTGAATTTTCTGGAAACAGGGTAAGGCTTTTCTCTCCCTAGTCCTGCCTCCAGTGAGGATATACAAATATTTGTATAAGACACAAGCATAACCCCACAATTAACAAAGTTAATTAATAGCTGACATGCTATTAATTAATAGTAGGTCGATAACTGAGTGCAGGACAGTTTGTTTTGCTCCGCTCTGATTTTGAGAATTTCACACTGTTTAATAATTCTCAATATGATCTATGAAAGGATTTTGCCCCAGATAGGACACTGTAGCCCTTGGGAGGCTGGAAGGCAGAACCAAGGAACTCTATCTTGAGTTCAACTTTCTTGTCCCTAGGCAATTGAACTGTGGCACCAAATGAATACCAATGGGCTGCCAGTGCATCAGTAATGCCCCTTAGGCACCACCCCAAACCTAAGCTACATGTATGCCCCCACACCACGTGTCTGGCGGAGAGAATGCCAGACCCGAGAGAATGCGACACCGCAGAGGGTCAGGGGGTCTCTCCCCACATTCTTAAAATTAAAGTCGCTTTTATTTCATACTTCTTATCTTTTCAGCCACGCCAAAATTCTATCAGTCTACAGAATGTACACATTCCCAATTTAAATATCATTATTCAGGTTTGTAGAATGGAAAAGCTCATCCTAAAATTCCAATAAAATTGAAAGGGTGTCTGGATAGAAAAAACAATCGAAAAATAAAAAGAAACATGAGGCACTGTATTCTTCTTAACTTCAAAATATACCACAAAACACAGTAATACAGGCTTAATACAGGCAAATAAATATTTTAACTTTGTATTAATCATTCATCCTTATGTGTGACATCAAAACCATAACCAAAAAAAGGACAAAATACATACATTGGGCATCATCACAATTAAACATTTTCAGGATCAAGATTACTATGAGGACAATAAAAACTCAAGTTATAGAAGAGACAGACTGTACATAAAGCACAGATACAGAATGGTCTAGTATCCAAAACATTTAAAGAACTGGTAAAACTCAATAACCATCAGAAAAGCATTTGTCCAAAGAAGGTACATAAAAGGACACAGGACAGCAAGCACTTAAAAATCTACTGACACCATTAGTCAGTAAGAAATGCAAATCAAAACCAGACACAAATGCAACCTCTAAAACAATCTGGAATGAAAATAATTTAAAGAACATGTTCTGAAAATATGGAGAAATGGGAAGTTTCTCACATTTCTGACAAATTACTATGCTAATGACAAAGGATACAAATTTCAGATTTCTGGAAAAGATATCAAGACATAAATGAATAAAAGATAGTCTCGTTAATCAATAGTCCTAGAAAAACTGGCTTTCCAAATGTCAAAGACCAGGTCCAAGTCCAACACCATGCACTCGAGTAAAATTGAAATGGATCAAAGTTCTAAATATTAAAATGAAAATACTAAATCTTCTGGAAGAGAGTATAGACAGGACTCTTCAAGACATGGGTATAGGTAAAGATTTCATGAACAGAACATTAATCACACAGGAAACAATACAAAATTCAATAATTGGGTTATCATTCTAATAAAAAGACTTCACATATCAAAGGAAATCAACAGTGGAATGAAAAGACAACACCACACAGTGGGAAAAAATCTCAACCAGTTGTTCTTCAAAGGAATTATATCCATAACATATAAAGAATTAAAAGGAATTAGAACCACCCAAAACTAAAGACCCAGTTCAAAAATGGACACCTGTGAGGAATATAAACTTGTCAGATGAAGAAATTCAAATCACAAATAAATACATGAAAAATGTTCCAACATCATTGGATAGTACAGAGATACAAATAATATTATGCTGTCACACAATTTTACTCCAGATAGTGTGAGTATCATCAAGAAATCAATCAATATTGGAGAGGTATGGGAAAAAAAGGACCATGCTACTTCACTGAGGAGAGTATAGACTGGTACAACTACTGTGGAAATCAGTATGGAGAATCCTCATAAAACTAGGACTACAGGTTCCATTTGATCCAGCTATTTAACTTTTGGGTTTCTCCCTAGACCACATTGATATATGCACACCCAAGTGTACAGCATCACAGATTGTAGTAGCAAAATCTTGGAGACAAATCAGGGTTCATCAACTGAGGAACAAATAAACAAGATGTGCAGGGTTTTGTTTTTTAATACAATGGAGTACTACTAAAGCAAGAAAAATGAGCCATTTCTAAGTAAATAGATGCAGCTTGAGAATATATTTGAAGTAAAATAGATCAGACTCATGTGTGTAATCACTGCATTGTCCTCTAGATAAACTGGAAAAGTAAATAATGATTGAAATCCACAATAGATACTGTAAAACGGAAGAAATTCTCCAAAAGGAAGAGAGCAACTAAGGTGGGGAAAGGCAGAAAGAAAGGAAGGGAAAAGGAAAAAAAAGATTACAAAAAGATAACATGGAAAAAATTTGTAAAATGAAAAAGGAAGAGGTGTTGAAGAAAACAGAAGCGATTGGGAAAAAGGAATCAAAATATTTCATACACAGGTACAAAGTCTGCATCATTAGTAAGAGCATTATGTTTATCCAAAATGTCACAATAAACAATTTCTAAAAGGTAAAAGAAGTCCCTAAGTGGGCCCTTGTTTTACAAACTCAGTTGTTCACAAGAGCTGGTTATATTTCAAACTGGTTTTAAGTCAAGACTACATTTTCCATAAAAATTAATGAAAAAACCTGTTATACACTCCAAAGCTAAAAAAACCTTAACTAAATTTTTCATTGTAACAAGGGTTATATACTATATATAATTTATCATAAACACCAATAATCTTCCTGGTGTACTCACAAAGAAATTATACAGTGTGCCTAATTTCATACTATACACACCATTCAAGGTGACGTCATGGTTTTCAGGAAAAAGCGAAGGAATGGAAAGTGGTTCTTCTTTGGAAGGAGATTTCTTTTCCATAAGAACATCAGGAATTGGGCTTTCACCTGCATCTGGGCTCAATTGATGTTTACCTATGCTTACATAGGCTTTTCAAGAATAGCAAGTCCTGTTTAGCAGCACATAAGTGCCTGGCATTCGGATTGTAACTCAAAACTTGGATGATGACTTGAAACTAACATTCGGATCTAAATCAACTTGCTGATATATGAAGGCAGACATAACTGAAACATCCACTGTGACTCCTTACTTCCTATTATGTGTCTTTTATTTCTCATTTTTGAAAAAAATACAACTTATAATTCCATGGGTCTTATTTCAGTTAACATGAGGACACAAGGTCACTCAATTATTCACATAAAACTCAAGTTTATATCTTTCATCATGACAGAGTAGCAATCCACTGCATGCAAATACATAAGCTTCATGTATTCATAAGTTGTTGGAAATAAAGGTTGCTTCCATGATATAGGGATGATAAATTCTGCTACTATACAATTTTCAGCTTAAAATTTTTATATAGTCATCTTAATTTTGTTTAATTAAAAAATTCACATTTTTATATGTAAAAACACAAATTCAGTCCATAAATATTACATAACAGTGCCTTTGAATTGTAATCAGAAATTCATTTAGGAAACCATAATCTATGAAAGTGCATATGGCCTGTGGAGTGAAGGAAGTGATGAAAGCAAAGTGGTGAGAAACTTTACTGAAAACTCCAGTAGAGAAAACAAAAAGAAACAGGAAAACAGAAGTAGAAAATAAAGGAAAGACATTTAGAAAATGAAGCTGGTATGTTCTCTATTTAAATCGTCTGAACACACCAGAGTCTTCAGAGAACCCACAGGCAAAGGTTCAGGATCACACATCCATCTCAAACAGCCAAGCAGCATCAGCAGGATCCCATGGCCTGGCCATTGACTGGATTGGTGGCCCTGCTGGTGCTCACCATCATGGCATCATGCTCTCTGGCCTGCACCCTGCCACAGACCCACAGCCAGAGGAATGCCAGGGCCCTGCTTCTCCTGGAACAAATGAAGAGAATTTCCACTTTCTCCTGCCTGAAGCACAGACAGGACTTTGGATTGGCTCAGCTGAACTTCGATGGCAAGCAGGTCCAGGAGGCTCAGGCCTTCTCGGTCCTCCATGAGATGGCCAGGCAGACCTTCAACATCTTCACATCAGAAGACTCATCAGCTGCCTGGAACCAGAGTCTCCTTGACACCTTCTGCACTGGCCTCCATCAACAGTTGAATGACCTGCAGGCCTGCTTGACCCAGGACACGGGGCTGGAAGAGCCTTCCCTGTTGCATGAGGACTCCAGACTGGCTGTGAGGAAATACTTCCACAGGATCGCTGTCTACCTGAAGGAGAAGAGCTACAGTCCTTGTGCCTGGGAGGTGGTCAGAGCAGAAATCGTCAGATGCTTCTCTTCATCAGAAGAACTGTTGAGAAAGATGCAGCACTAAGGAATGAGTCCTGGTTTAACAAGAAAATCATTTACATCGATTGCATGACACTTTCACGATTCTATCATTTCCAAGATTCCCATTTAGGCTCTATTCATAACCTGCTTTGTTTGTCCATTTTTATCAGGAGTCCTGGGCAACATTGTGATCATCTCTATATGTTTTTCTTCCAGCTCATTTTTCAAACATAAAAGTATTTATTTATTGGTGTATTTAAGATTTATTTAACTATAAGACATTTTGTGTTTACTATGCATAAAATATGCAGACTTCTAAATTACAGTTAATAAAACATGTTCTTTACATTTGCTCAATTTGTCAGTTTGCTTTTTCCATTGGATTTGTGTCATATGAACCCTTCGTATATGTGTTTGTCCTTTAAAAGATACTCCAGATGGCAGAGTAGTAAGCAACAAATAGCCCCTTGAGAGACACCATCTAGAATTGGGGGTACACCATCGTGAAGAACACAAGAAAGAAGAAAATTGGTACCCTGGACATAGAAGAGTCTGAATTTTGAATTGAAGCTCAGAGACAGTGAAAAGGAAAACTTCAATGAAGAAGGCAGTATCTGGTGGCGGCTTCGCCATCAGCCAGACTCACTGCTTGAGAGCAGCTGTTGGAACCTGGGGACATGTGGTGGTAGTGGCAGCTGGCAAGCCCTCAGGCCTCTGTGGAAAGGTTTGATGGCAGAGGGGAGCAGTGGACATGGAGAACATTGCTGGATGCTGTTGAGTGCCAAGGAATTGGTCCTCCTGTGGAAGAGACCATTGGTTGGCAGTCATTTTGGAGCTGGGCCAGATAAGTCCAGAATGAAAACTATTGATAGCTTCCTCCAGCAGATTTTAGCTGGGCACAGAACTGTGCAAAAATGCTAGGATGATGGTGAGCCAAATCAGTCTGGTCTCAGGACAGGGCTGCTAAAGTTCTCTGCTTCTGTCCTCAAAGCAAAACCTGGATTGTGGAGGTGAAGTAACAGGGTTTGGGATGCTGTCTCCACAGTCTACTAGTGAATCCAGAGAGAATCCTGAAAGTGGACAATGTTTTTGTTTTGTTTTGTTGTTGTTTTTCTTTTCTTCTTTTCTTGTTTGATTTATTTATTTTTTAATCACTCTTTCACTTCCATCATTTTCCTTTCTTTTTTTTTTTTTAAGCATGAGTGTGGTTCTTAATCTCCTTGTAGGTCTGGTTTTTGTTCTGTTCTACCTTTTATTTCTTCCAGCTCTCTTTTTCATCAGTCTTCTGCATCGATGTCTCCAAGTTGGTGGGATCCATTTTTATGCTTGTAATCCAAGCTACTTGTAATCTTTTTCTTTCCCACTTTTCTGTGTTCTCTTTAATCTATTTTGAATCTTAACACTTGAGACAGAATTGACATAATTACACATTGATATACTGAATACAATTGTTGTGCATTCTGTTGAAAAGATATGAGAAGACACTTAAACAAGACATAACCTCAGAGATTTAGTTCACTAAAGCAAACCAAGGAAAGAGTGAGGCTGGAAAATTTGAAAACCCACACCAGGTCTCTGCAAAATGGTAACAAAGCAATTGGATAAGGCTCTGGAAAAAATGAAACCAAAAATACTCTCTCAAAACTAGAAAAGGAACATGAAAAATCAATCCAGCAACTACTAGATGAGACAAACAGAATAATTTAAGATTAATTGGAGTCAGTGAACAAGCAGGATATACCACAAATGACATTAAAAATATGTTCACAGACATTGTGACAGAAAACTTTCCTGGTAGAGAAAAATACAAATAAGTGAGGCATAGAGAACTTCAATTACCAATTATCAAAACAATTCTGCATTCAGGCATGTCATAGTCACGATTCCAGAAACTCAATACAAGAAAAGAATTTGAAAAGCTGTTAGGGAAAAGAAAAAAGTCACCTATAAAGGAGAACACATCAGGATTACAGCTGACTTCTCAGTACAAACTGTCAAGTCTAGGAGAGCTTGGAGTAAAGTACTGCAAGTTCTAAAGGAAAACAACTTTCAACCCAGATTGATGTATCCCACAAAACTATCTTTCAAAATTGATCCAGAAATAAGATACTTCCATGACAAAGAATAGCTGACAAAAATATATGACAACCAAACCTGCACTCCAAAATGTTCTGAAGGACATTCTAGAGTGAGATAACAAAGACGTCATTTCCACGAACACTAAAAGAAGGAATTCACCAGGAAAAGCAAACGATTACAGGGAAAGGGAAAAAAAGATGTGAGGGGGGCAATAGCAGGAAAGTAACATGACAACAATAAATCTATACATATCAGTTTTAACCATCAATATTAAAAGTCTCAATTCACCAATCAAAAGACACAGACTGGCAGAATGGATCAAGAAACTGAGATCCAATAACATGCTATCTACAAGAAATACATTTACCCCAAAAAGAATGTCTAAGGATGGAAAACAATACTCCATGCAAAAGACATTCGGAAAAAACAGGGGTTGCTATTCTATTTGCAGGTCATGTGAATTTCAAGCCAAGACTGATTAAGAGAGATAAAGAAGGTCACTACATTCTGGTAAAGGGAAGTGTCCAAGAGGAAGACATAGCAATCATTAATATATATACAACTAATATTAATGCATCTAGTTATATAAAACAATCATTACTGGGCATGAAAAATCGAGTAAGCCTTATTACAAATGTCTTGGGAGACCTTAATACCTCACTCTTACAAAAAGGCAGATCAACAAGACAAAAAATTAATAATGAAAAATTAATTAATGAAAAATTCCGAGACACATATGAATTACCTAAACTGAATCCAGAAGTGACAAGAATTCTACATAACCCAATTATCAATACATGAAACTAAAGATGTAATTAAAATCATGTTAACAAAGAAAAACCTAAGTCCTCACAGATTCACTGCTGAACTTTACAGGAAATTTAATGAAAACTTAACACCACTACTTTTCAAATTCTTAAATGAAATTGAAAGAAAAGTAATACTCCCAGATCCATTTTTAGAAACAAGCATTACTCTAATTCCAAAACCAGAGAAGGACCCAATGAAGAAAGAGAAATACAGGTCAATCTCTCTAATGAACATTGATGGAAAAATCCTTAATAAGGTACTGGCAAACAGACTGCAGCAAAATGGCAAAAAAGAGTGTACCATGATCAAGTGGAGTTCATCCCAGGGATTCAGGCATGGTTCAACATAGTAAACTCCATAAATGTAATACATCATATTAACAGAGCCAAGGACAAAAATCACATGATCATCTCAATAGATACAGAATAAGCTTTTGGCAAAGTCCAGCATCCATTCATGATAAAAACCCTACATAAAATTGGTATAGATGGTCTTTATCTCAATCTGATAAAACCCATCTATAAAAAATCAACAGGCAACATCTTATTAAATGTACAAAACCTGAACATTTTAACTCTAAAATGAGGAACCAGACAAGGATGTCCACTGTTTCTACTCTTAAACAACACAGTCCTGAAAACTTTAGGCAGAGCAATTAGACAAGAGAGATAAAGAAACAGAATAAAGATAGGAAAGGAAGAAGTTAAATTATCATTATTTTCAGATGACAAGTTACTCTACCTCGAAGACCCCAAAAACTCCACCAATAAACTTCTAGATTCAATCAGCAAACTTAGTAAGGTAGCTGGTTACAAAGTCCACATTTAAAAATCAATAGCCTTCTGGTACACAAATAGCAAATGTACTCAGAGAGAAATCAGGGAAACAATACATTTTACAATAGCAAACAAAAAATTGAAATAGCTAGGAATTAATCAAATGAAAGATGTAAAATACCTCCAAGTTGAAAACTATAGTACTCTGGAAAAGGAGGTTGATGAAGATATTAGAAAATAGAAAGATATCCCATGCTCTTGGGTAGGAAGAACATGTATAGTGAAATTGGTCATATTTCCAACACTGTTATACAGATTCAATGCAATCTTACAGAATTAGAAAAAACAATCCTAAAATTCATCTGAAATAAGAAGAGATCAAGAATAGCAAAGGTGATTGTTGGCAATAAAGTGAAGCCAGGGGCATCTCAATTCCTGACTTGAAATTATACTACAAAGCTAGTGTGAGTTTTAAAAAAATGTGTGCTACTGGAGAAAAAAAACAGACATGAAGATCAATGGAACCGATTAGAAGATGCAGAAATAACTGTAGACACACTAAGCTACTTTATCTTTGACAGTGGTGCCAAACACATTCTCCAAAAGAAACATAGTCGCTTTAATAAATGATGTTGGAAGAACTGGTTTTCACATGCTGAAGATTTAACCCGGACCCATATCTTTCACCAGTACTAAGCTAAATCAGAATGGATTAAAGATCTTAATATTATTACAAATGTTAGATATGTTGGGAGATAGAATAAGTAAAACTACTGAAAACATTGGTATAGGCAAAGACTTTATGAATAAAATCCAGATTGCACAGGGCTAACTACAAAGAATCAGCAAATGGGATCTTTGTCTACTAAAAAGCTTTTGCACAGCAAGAGAAACCACCAACAGAGTGAAGAGACAGCCCACAATGTGGGAAAAAATGTTTGCCAAGTGTTACTCAGATAAAGGATTACAATTGAAAATATATAAACAAAAACATTAGTCCTCACAGATTTAAAAACCCAATCCAAAAACGGGCATCTGAGAAGAACATACACGTAGCAGATGATAAAGTACAACAGCAAATAAATATGTGAAAAAAGCATTCAACAGCACTAGTCATTTGACAGTTGCTTTCGAGAATTAGAACAACACTGAAACTTTACCTCACCTCAGAAAAAATGTCTAGTACTAAGAAATGAACCAATTACAAATGATGGAGAGGTTGTGGCAAAAAAGAACTCTTCTCCATTGTTGGTGGGAATGTACTCTGGGGTGCAATTACTGTGAAAGTCAGTGTGGAGATTTCTCAAAAAACTAGGTTGGAGGTCCCATTTGACCCAGCTATTCCCCTTCTCGATATCTTTCCAAAAGAATTAAAAACATCATACTGCAATGATATATGGGCACCCATGTTTATAGCAGAATAGTGTTTAATAGCCGGATCTTGGAAATAACTTAAATGTCCATTGACTGAGGAATGGATAAGAAAGATGTTGTATTTATATTCAGAGAGTACTACTCAGCCATAAAGAATAATAAACTGGACAATGTTATAGCTAAATGCATGCACCTTGAGGACATACTTATTAGTGAAATAAATATGTCTTTCATATATAACCTCATATTGTTTCATTAGGGTGACAAGCTAAAATAAAAAATAAAACATGGATTTTGTCCCAGAGAGAATGACTTCATCCAAAGCAATGACTCAGGCCACACCTGCCTTTACTTTACCTAACTGATAGTGGACCATTTTGAGTTGACTTTTGAATGTTTTGAAAATTTTTTATGTGATACAAGGTTTGGAGTTTCTTTTTGCATGTAAATATGCAAATGTTCCAGTATGTTTATTTAATTGTTGTGCATCCTTTCTCTATTTAATTGTTGTGCATCTTTGCCAGAAAGCAATTGTCCATTATGTGGGTATCAATTTTGGGACTTCATATGGGTTCTTTGGTGGTTTGTCTATCTTGATAGCAATGCCATTTTGTTACGATGGGTATAATTTTGTGGTAAGTCATGGGATTAGGGAGGGTTGGAGCTCTAATTTTGTTCCTTTATCAAAGTTGATTAGACTATTATGAATCTTTTCTATTTCTACAGAAACGAAAGAATTAAAATAATAATTTTTAGGAAAAATGATGTTGGCATTTTGATAAAGGATTGTGTTTTCGGATCTTTATTATTTCCTTCTAATCATTTTTGGTTTTATTCTGTCTCTTAGATTCAATTTCTAATGAATGATATGAGGATATTTCCTTACTTTCTTCTTTTCTCATAAATGTACTTGGTCTTAATTTTTTTAAATGAATAAAAAGAAAAAAGATACTCCAAACTTCAATGTACAACCTTATGAAAGTATGGAAGAAGGAATCCATTTGCCCATCACTGTCAAACTCAAAATAAAAGGAGTAACTTATGCTCTCATGACCTGGGACCAAAGTGCAGTTGAAGAGTGCTCATGCAGTATGTGTGAGGCTCTGAGTTTGATCCACATCACTTCAAAAAACAATAAAATAAAATCATAGCTCACCGACTTTTATAGATAAACAACCTAAAAAGAATAATCATAGATACTATCAGATATATGAACTGCCACAGTGAAACAAAGGGAAAGCCAATAAAACCTTCTCAGGAACATATGGATGTTGAAATATGTTAAGATATAAAAATGAAAAAAATCAGACATCTAAATATCCACTGTTCTTCGAACCCATGACCTTCATTCAGAAAAAGGAAGCTGCTGGAAATTTTTGCATGGTGACTACAGTCTCAGCAATACAGGTGCTCATACAGAAAGGGTTTGGAGAGAAAAATTTAAACCAGGAGCTGGATTCATCAGGATCTAAAACAGCAAGTGAAGAGTCATACAGAAAACAAAGGTAAAAGAGTCTTAGAGTAGAAAGATAAAGGAATGGTGATAAAAGGGTTTTTAAGGAAATCAATCTGCTAAGGGAAGGAATTTTTGGAGTCATGTAAGGCATGAATTGAAACTGCCCACTACATCTCTCCCTCCACCTAACACCCCATTCAAAGGGACCTCCTTAATGTTCCTTTGTTTAGAGATTTTTGTGTTCTGATGGTTACTAATACGAGAGACAACACCAGGCACACACTCTCCTTCCTGAAAATACACAAGTGGCTGGTCTAGAACATGATTAAGATAGAGGAGTCAACTGGAGATCATGGAAAGAGGACAGAGATGATTAAAGTGTCTGCCAGAATCATGGCAGTCTTAGGAAATGGTTTATATTGAGCTACGTCTCCTTTCACATCACAAGATCTGAAATCTGCATGCTGAGTCCTTAAGATTCTCTCCATAAGCAGTAATCGATTGCAGTAAATGCTGAGAACACAGAGATTTCCTAGAGGGGTACAGACAAATAAAGTGCCCCCAACGAGGCTCACACTGAAACCATCTCGCTCTGAACACTCATGATGTACAAAACATAGGAGATTCTATTCATGAAGACAGGGCAACTCAAGTTATCTTGAATTCTCTTCAGATGCAGGCTGCTTTAAAAATAAACAGTCCAAAAGCAACAGGGTCTGACTTGTGGAAGAGCTTTCTAAAATACAAATAAATCATGTGCATATTGGAAGGTCCAAATTTCTCAAAGGAATGAATTTTTTGAAACAAATTTTTTATCTCAATTGACTGAAGAAAAGATTTTAAACATATGAATTATCTCTCCTTGCAGTCTGTGCATTCTACAATGTTTATGTATATTTAAACATTGGTTCCCTTCCTAAAGAGTAGAGCTCCCAATGATCTGGATGTAGTGTTATAACTCAATAATGCCAGGTTGAGGAAGGAGGATTGTTGGTGTGTTCCAGACCAGTGTGGGCTGCATAGTGAATTCAAGGTCAGCCTGAACTTCATGGTGAGAACACACACACACACACACACACACACACACACACACACACACTCAATTAGAGGCAGCAAAACACATGTACATGAGTAAAAAATTAGAAATCTTCACCATGAATGGGATAAAGAGCAATCTGTCTCAGCATGTGAAAGTTCACTATAATGATAGTGACAGTGGAGTCATTAATAAAGCAAACAAAAAGAAGTTAAACCAAAAAGTTCATTTCTTAAGCTTGACATGGTGGCACATGCCTGCACTCTCAGCACTCATGAGGATTGCCTAGGGTTCAAGTTCATACTGGGCTGGTATATTGTGAATCAAGGCCTTTTTAGATCCTTAGGTCATCAAAGGGCCACTGTGAGCCCTATTTGCTGTGATTCCATATGAAAAGCACTTCTGTATCTGAAGGCCCTGGGGGACGATCTTAATGCCTCGACCGCCTTTGGTGCTGTGGACTCAGCTGGGATTCCTGTGCACAGGGCCTTGGTTCAGGTGGGCCAGGTTCATTCTGGACAGTGCAGAACTTCCATGTGACTCTGTGGGACTTCTATGTTAGTGTACATGCACGGCTATAGCAGTATCTTGGTTTTATTTCAGATGTGGTATATGTTTGCTAAACAAAAATATTATTTAACAATAATGGACACAGAGAACATAGAATCCAAGCTGATATGTAAATCGATATTTTTTTAGCATATGTTTAAATAAACTAATGAATACAAACATTGCCGGAGGCTGGTACATGTACATGACACATCTTCATTTTATTTAAACCTCTTCCCCTCCAAGCCCTCTCCTTCAGTTTGTGCGCCCAGTCCTACTGATAAAAAAAAATCTATTTTTTATTAATTTATTCTTTTATTATAGACTCATATTTTGTCTTCTTATAAAGCAGATATTAAACAGTACTTCACTGTGTGTCTGATTTTCTTCGGCCAGTGTTATAGATTCAAGATGTGTCCATTTTTCCCACAAATAACTCAAATGGATCCTTTGTAGCAGAGAAGTACTATATTGTGTATGAATAATACATTTTCTTTATCCATTATCTTTTGGGGAAAATAGCTATTTCCAAAATCTAGCTTTGTAAATTTTGCTGCAATAAACGAGCATATATATGCTTCGCTGATATACGATATCTTTTAACTCAATTGAGAAAATAGCTAGTAGGAAAACAGAGGGGTGGAATAAGATTTCTATTTCTCATTTTGAGAGATCTTCACACGGATTTTCACAGTGGTGGTACTAGTTTACATTGCTATGAAAAATGCAGAAGGGAAGGCTTGGTACACAGTTCAGCAGCAAAGCAACTGCCTTGCAGGCTCAAGGTCATGACTTCCATCCTCAGTATCAAAATAATAAAAATAACAACAACAACAACAACAATAATAATACAGGGTTCCTCGTTCTACACAGCTTCATTAACATTCTTATTATCTAATTTCCTACATGTACCCATTCTTTCTGAATATTGAATCCCTGTGTTGTTTTAATTTGCGTTTCTGAAATGGCCAAGATTTTGAACTTTCCAATGTAGTTACTGGCCATTTGGACTTTCTCTTTGTAGAAGAGTCTAATCATAACAGTTGCACATTTTTGGACTAGGTCTTCTATTTTGAAAGGTTTGATTTTTGAGTGATTATATTGGTGTTAATCTTCTGCCTGAGGTGTAGCTGGCAATTATTTTTCCATTTGTGAAAGATGTTTCTTTTTCCTTGCTTATTTTCTTAGCAGAGCAGAAGTGAATTTGATATAATCACATTTCTTCCTTCTTGAAGCTATTGCTTGTGCAACTATGTTTCTATTCACAAAGTCTTTGTCCACACCTATGTCTTCAAGAGTTTTACTTACTTTGACTTCCAGCAAGTTAAGTGTTTCTCTTTTAACACTTTGATTTTGATTAACTTTGATTTTACTATAATACAGTGTGAAAAATGGAGCTAGCACCAATATTTTGCTTGAGGAGAAACAGCTTTCTTAGCACCTTTTAGATTTAAAAAAAAAAAAGGTATTTTTCTTCCAAGGTAAGTTCTTGGCCCCTTAGTCAAAGATCAGGTAGCAGAATATTTCTGGGCTGGTTTCGGCATCCTCAGTTCTTTTCCGCTGCATGACATGTCTGTGACTATGCCATTTCCATGCTGTTTTTAATCACTGTAGCTTTGTAACAGAATCTGAAATCTAGGACTGGGATGCCTCCTGCTTTGTTCTTGTTGCCAGAATTGATTGTGCCCTTCTGAGTCTCTTTTAGTTCCATATGAATTTTAGCATTCTTTTCACTAGTTCCGTGTGTGTTGTTAATGGCATATTGATGGGACTGCATGAAATCCAGATTTTATTTTATTTTATTTTTTAATTTTATTTAAGGAGAAAAAGAAAAAAAAGCAGAGAAAGGGTACAAGTTATACAGATTTACAGAAAAAAATAAACAGTAGGAAACCACTAGTTAATGGATTACATTTTGTCATCTCAGAAACAATTGTTCAAGTTACAAAATTAAAGCTTATAAAGTGGACATTCCAACAGTGAGACTGCAAACAGTTCTGTTCAATGATCCAACAAAACTCAGTAATATCATTATCTATCTAATACACTTAAATATACATGCAGTTATATCATTTAGAGTACTTTCTTTTCCTCTCTTTTGTACAATGACAATTATACACTTTGGGTTTTGTTGCTCCCACAGTTCTTATTACTTTTCTGGAAGAGAGTAGAACCAAATGTGACATAACAGAACAGTCAGTCAAATCAAAAGGATGGACGTAATAGATAATGTAAAAGCATAATACTAGGTGATCAACAATGGTTACCATAATGCCTCCCGCTATCTCTAATAGAACTGCCTATATCATTAGTTATAATAAAATTGAACAAAACAGTAAAGAACAAAACCAACAAAACCAAAACATTGGAGACATTACAGGTCTTCAAAAGTAGATAATAGTCAACCAGAATGGGCATCATAATGAATCCCACTATCTTCACAGCTGTTGCCTAAACTTTCGAACCTGGTACTATCAAGCAAAACAGAATAGAGGAACATCAGTCAAAACAAGATGGTGAGAGCAATACAGGGCTTTAAATCAAGATAATGGAAAGTCAAAGTGGGTTACGGTAATATATCCTGCTATTTTTAAATTTATTTTTCCCTTAATTAAAAGGATAAAAAAGTAAATAATAAAATGGAGATTGAGATAAAAGAGGGCATAACAGCAAAACAGCACAGATCAAAACATAACCATTTAAGCAAAATAGTGTTTCACCACAAGATTATCCTGACATAAAAGTAGTTACCATATTGTCTCTTTCCTTGAAATCTTTGAGTATAACTTCGTATACTGTAGCATCAAATATATCAAAACAATGTAAAACCATTTAAGAGAATGACAGTATTACAGGGTATTTAGAATCAACTAACAGAAAATAAACAAGAGTTTCTGTATAATCTCCTTGTCTATAAAAGGTTTTGCTTATACTATCATATATAATAAAATCCAATAAGATACCACCTGTTTAGACCAATGGAGACAGAACAAAAGCTTGATGAGACTTCAAAACAAGATGGTACTAAATCAGTATTACCTCTTAAGACGTCATTTTCTCCAAAATAGCTGTTCCTATTATCCAATCTTCTCTGCCTCATTTCTGTTGAGCTCTTTTTCTGTCATTAGTTGTCAGTTTGTCTTCTTCATTTTGTTTTCTGCTCCATTCATTGTGGCCTCTCTGCTGCTACTTCTGGATTCTTTGTATTTTTCTTTTTTAGAATGTCTTGCAGTATTTTCTGTAGAGTTGAAGTGGTGGTTGCATATTCCCCTAGTTCCTCTTTATCCTGGAAGCATCTTGTTTTTCCATCAATTTTCAGGGATAGTTGTGCAGGATATATCAATCTTGGCTGGAGATTATTATTTTTCAAAGCTTGAATTATTTCCCCCGCACGCTCTTCGTGATTTGATGGTTTGTGTGAAGAAGTCTGCTGTAATTCTGATGGGTATTCCCTTGTAAGTGATCTGTTTCTTGTCTCTGACGGCTTTTAGTATTCTGTTCTTGTATTGGATTTCTGGAATTTTAATTATTATATGCCTGGATGTTGCTCTGTTTGGGTTGTAGGTGGCTGGGGTCCTGTATGCTTCATACAACTGAGTATCTTTACCTTTTGCTAAATTAGGAAAATTCTCCTGGATTATTTCTGTGAGTAACTTTTGTAGTTCATTTGTTTGTGTCCCTACTTCTTCTTCTTTTTTTTTTTTTTTTTTTTTTTTTTGTCTTTTTCCTTTTTATCGGTACCAGGGATCGAACTCACGACTGCCTGCTTACAAGGCAGGCACTTATGCCGCTGAGCTAAATCCCCAGCCCCTCTACTTCTTCTTTTATGTTCTTAATTCTTAAGTTATAGACCCTCTTATCATCTTCTAGTCTTTGTATTATTGCTGTTTGTTTCTTTGTTATTTTTAAGAAGTTTTTCACTTCATGCTCCCATATTACAAATCTGCCCTCCAGTTCAGATAATCTGTCCTTAGTTTCTTTCAAGCTGTTATGCCAGTTTTCCATAGACTTTTTAGTTTCTTGGTATTCTCTTTGAACCTGCTTCCCTTTTTCTTCCTTTTTGTCTTACCCACAATACTAAATTTCAGCACCTGGAGTGTACCTCTCAAAGAGGCTGTTTACTCTGCTTATAGTTTTTGCATCTTCCCAGAAACCTGATATTGACCTTTGAATTTCCTGCATAGCTCTTTGAATCTGTTTCATACATTGCAATTGATTCCCATATTGTTCATTAAAGGTTTCCATCATTTTCCAGTGCTCCTATTTTTTTAAAAAAATTATTCTCAACAGTTCTTTCATTATGATTGTGATTTCCTTTGTCTGAGAAATTATTTGTAATCTGATTACTTTACAGTCTCATGAAGTTGTTTCTTTACTTCAGTTGCTATCCTCTAGGAGATAACATGTGTGTGATTTTCATTTTCTTTCATGTCTACACTTCCCAGACTTCTGTGTAGGTTGGATGTCTGAGATTGCCTTTTGCTCCTTTGTATTCACATTTTCCTGAGTTTCTCCCAACAAGCCAATTCTGTGGTCCCAGACACTTGCCACATTGGCTGCCTCTATACTGTGTAGGGAAATGGGTCAGGCACACGACTTTCATGAAGCCTGGGTATCAGGGTATAAGGTGGGATTTGCCCAACTCATGCAACTACACTAAAGCTTCACCAATTGTGGGTGGTGGTAGTGGTGGTGGCGCTGCTTCATTTCTCAACCTGCATGTCTACACTGGGATGCCCCTGATGACAGCAGGCAAACACGGTAGTTTTTATGTGATTTTCCCGGTGGGCACTGGCTGCCTGAAGGAAGGAAGGTTCTCTAAGGGTGGCTTGCAGCCACATGGGACTTATCTGACTCTTTGTCCCTGCCCACACTGTTTCCCCAACAGAGGTAAACTTTCAATTGGTGATGGTGGGCATGACAGTGACAGGTCTGGCTGCATCTCCCTCCTGCCCTGGCTGCCCAAAAAAGGAAGCTTTCCGATGGCAGTAGCAGGCATGCATAGGCTATTAAACCTATCTTTAACTAACACAGAGGACATGTCTCCCAGCTCCATCAGGGAGGATAAAATTGCCTTTTCTTTGCCTTTTTTGTTTTATCTGGGATTGCAGATGACTGGGTGTGTTGGAAATGTTGATCTCCCTTCAGTGCACTGATATTAGTGTCAGTCTCTTTTGGAAACACTGCCACAGACATGCAGAAACAACCTTTCTACTATTTCTATAGGTATACCTTCATCCAGCTGATTTGAAATAAACAACTGCCATCACAACCCTTATATGTGATTGTAAGAATTACACAGATTTGCCAAAGAACTGTTTAGTATCCAATATGGAAACTAAATCCAGGCTCAGGGCAAACTGACAGCTGAAACTGAGAGGGACACTTTGGGAATCTCACAGTCAGGGTCCTGAAGAGACACAGTGGATGGTGCTGGTTGGGCAGCAACCCAGGGCTGGCAGCATTGCAAATGTGGGAGAGAGTATAGACTGGAAGACTCCTCTTTGGCTCTATATACAGAATGGAGAAAAGTGTCTTTCCACAACAGTTATAGGGCTCATGCGTAACACTATTATAATGAAAGACAGATCACAAGTGAAAATAGTAACAAATGTATCTAACAAAAGGTAACAAAAGATTACAAGTTTTGGTAGCCATTACAAATGAAGAAAAAAAGAAAACTATACATATATATATATATATATATATATATATATATATGAAGAGAGAGAGAGAGAAAACTATATGTTAATTTTTAAACAAAATAATAATAATATATTATTTCAAAACAAAATAACAGATTAATAATGGTTAATACATTGCATGTTGTCACTTTAAAAGTAGTTACTCACATTACAAGATACAAGCATGTGAGAATGATCAAACAATGAAAGCACTATTCTTTTTGATGAACTAACAGAGATTAGTAGTATAATTATCTACTCTGGATATGTGTGTGTGTGTGTGCATGTGAGTATATATACATATACATATATATACATATACATATACATATACATATACATATACATATACATATAATCTTTTCTTCTCTTTCCTCAATTCACACATTGCAGTTTGTCTTTCAGCAGTTTTTCATTTCAGTTTCACAACATATACTGTATATTTTGAATCTTATTTATTATTTCAGTTTATTACATTAGGAAAACAATATGATGTTTACACATGGGAATCTTATTTCACTTATTAGTATGGTCTCAAAATGCATCCATTTACCTATAAAACATTGAGTTTCTCCATTTTTATAGTAATACTCCATTGTATAGAAATAGCACATCTTTTTTTTTTTTTATCCATTCCACAATAGATGGGCATTTGGGTCGTTTCCAAGATTTAGCTATTACAAATTATGCGTTTATATACATGGGTACACATATA